CTTATTTGTTGCAACACGAACTGTATCATGTTCTCTATACATAGATCAAAATTCTACCATGAAAGCTTCTAAATTATCCAATATTGGATCTTATCGTTTAAGAAAAGATGAAAACCATGATAATGCAAAATCAAAAAGTAGTGTTCCAATAAACCTGACTTGTGATCCTAGAGTTGGATAGCTTTGGGATTGAAGTTCGATTGTTAATTGTACTTGATTGATGAATCCTCAAAACTTTGATCTTATACCATCAGATTTCTTGAGTAAGGTAATTCTTGGTTTTCTAGCATTTGAATGGTGTTCTACCATAGAAGAAGGAACACGATTCGATGTAGATGTTGAGGCAGCTCTGACCATCTCTATATCTTCACTTTCTGTTATTCTTATTCTTCCTTCTATTGGTGAATTAAGTTGATGCATCATAAGCATTAATTATTTCAGTTGTTCTTGCATTTGTATCATTGTACTTTTCAATTCGACAAGCTCTGCCATGATAACACCTAAGAAAAAAATGTCTAATATTGCTCAAAATAAGTAAGAAAATAGACTTGAGAACAAAAAAAATACTAAAAATAATATCAATTTAAAAGAGGGTAATCTGCAACTCTTAATATGCTTATGTCTTATCAAGAAAAAGGGATAATCCACTCTTGATTAAGAAAAGACAAAGCTCTGATATTGTAAGTGTACTCTTGTCAATCTGTCAAGAACAAGAATTCGAGGAAAAAGCAATTCAAACAAGTGAGCCTTTACTCAAAGAAAGATAACAAAATATAAATAAACAAGTATGTATATTGAAAGAAAAACTAGAATTGCTATTGCCAAAGACTAGAAAACATGAAGACTCTTGAAACTAGAGTAGAAACAAGAAAAGAATTGACAAGAGTGAAGAAGGCTTCACTCTTGTCTCTATATATACTATCTAACTAGGAGCTACGTGGCGACGTTCTATAGGACTTTCAATATGTGTTGACTTTGTAGGACACATGTCTTGACTTACAAGGCAAGTTTTTCTACGTGTGGGCTACATTGTTAGCTTGGTCTTCAAGCTAACAACATATGTGGCACATGGCCAACTTGTTGACTACGTTTCTAATCCAAAAAATCAATTAAAGACACCTATAAAGTCAAAGCAGCATCTATAAAGCTTCCAAGAAGCTTTCATATCAAATACTATAGAATTAACTTACTTTTATCTACTTTTACTTACTTCTACCTATTTATATATGTAAGTACTGGCTTACATGAGTATGTCTGTGACAAATTCTTTACTTGATTAAAAAACAAGATTTGAGAGGAAAGTACTAAAAAGTTTTTTAAAAATTTGTTTTATATGATTTAAAAACATATTATATTTTTGAGGGCTTTTCAAAATAAGAAATGTACTCAATGGTTTTGGATTTTAAAAAATAAAAAGATATTTATTATTTTAAGTATGGTGTGAATATTATAGCACATTTATAAGTGAAATTTTGAAATTTTATCATTGTGCTTATCTTCAATGTGTTTAAAAAAATTGATGTCAATTAAATAGTTAGATTAAAGGATATGAAAGTTTTATCAAATTAGAATCTCTAATTTTTAAAATTTATGATTATTGAGAATTTTGTGATCCTAAAATATTTTCCAATTATATTGAAGAAAAAAAATTAGTAAAAATAATTTAAACTTAGAAAGCTATACACAAGCTAATTTTTTAAACAATTGAATAGTTCAAAAAGAAAAAATTGTTGCTAAAAGATCAACATCTAGGTTGAAGGAGGAAAGTCAATATCTAAGTGGTTTAGAAGCTTTTTCTTTTGATTAATGAATCTGATTTTTAAAAAAATTGTATACTTATTAAGTGCTTAAAATTTGAAATGTAGGTGAAATTTGAGTTGAAATTAATAATTTATTTAATATTTATTTAGATTTTAAAACAACTGTAAAGATTGATTAGGATTTATTTTGAATATTTTTGAGTTTGTTTAGGATTTTTTTTAGATCTTTTTAGAATTTAATGAGAATTTGATTAGGATTTGAATATGATTAATTTAGGATTTTATTAGGATTTAGGATTTGTTTAAGATTATATTAGGATTTATTTAGGATTTATTTAAGATTATATTAGGATTTATTTAGGATTTGTTTAAGATTATATTAGGATTTATTTAGGATTATATTAGGATTTGATTAGGATTTATTTAAGGTTTCTAATTTTTATATATCTTTAAGATTTTTTTGATATTTATTTAAGATTTTTTATTATATATATTTCTTTATGATTCTTTTGTACATTATTTATAATTATTTATTATTTTTTTAAGATCTTTTGGATTTAATTAAAGATAGATTAATATTTTTAAGATTTAATTAAATTTTGTTTAGAATTCTATTAGAGTTGTTAAGACTTTCTTATTGAAAATTCTATTTTACCTTCCATAGCCAAGTGCCTAATACATTCACAACCACATTTTAAAGTATATGACAACAATACATGTAGTTGGTCAACAAAATAGTTATCCAAAAGACAAGAACTTGTTGTAACATGGATTGAGCATCTTATACCATCTTTTCAACTCAAAAATATCAAGCAAGAATTTTTAAAAAATTATAGTACTAAGATGACTAGAGCAATAGAGCTGAAAACATTCCATAAAAGTTGCAATGAGAGGAAAGTACTTGATGTTACATACATGTTGTCTTAAAGTATGTTATTTGTTTAAAAAAGCACCAAAATATATAATAATTTAAATTAATATTTAATTTTCCTTATCTTGGTAAAAATATTCTAAAATTTAAATTTTAAAATTATAAATTTGATGCTCAATAATACATTCATATACTTATACCATTATTTTTTTTGATTTTTTTTATAATATCTCTTAGCTTTAAAAAATCGGAATTATTTTTAAAACATAAATTTTATTTATTTATATATTTATATAATTATAATAATTTATATTTTAATTTTTTAGCATAAAATTATTTTGTATATAAATAATTCTTTAATTTTAAAATTATTTCAAAAATCTATTGATCTATTTTATTCTATTTTCTAATAGATTGATTTTTAAACATCCATATGCAACCTTATTATTTTTTCTAATAAAATAATTATTAAACCTATTTATATTAATTATATATGGATATAATTAAAAACTTAGAAAAATTGGAATAGATGCTTATTGTATGAAGTAAATAAAAATATACAAAAGTGGGTAGAAATATCTAAGATAGATAATATTGTCTTTAAGAGACTTCAAAGAAGTTCTTTAGATATAGATAAGATCTTTAGGTTTATATAGATATGCCAAGTGGCAATTGGAACTTGTCTTATAAGTATTTTATTTTCACAAAGTTGTATTAGAAGCAATCTATAACTTAACATTTGAGCCATAAGTAAAAATTATATGCACACTTCTATTTAGAAATACTCTTTTTTTGTTTGTATCTTTGATAAAAAAATAATTTAAAACTTTTGTGTGATTTAAACTTATTTTTAGAGGAATTTAAGACTACATTTGAAGAAAGCAACCAAAAAAGAGTAAAAAAAATAAATTTGCAATCTTTACTAAAATGATCATATTTAATTTTTATTTATATTGTAGAATTCTAAAAAAGTACTTGCAATGTGGATTGAAAATTAATGTTTTTATTATTTAATTTTGATATAATTTTAAAAATACTATTAAAGGTCTATTTTTGAAAATTTCAAAAAAAAATTATTGCAATAATTCACCAGTGAAGTAATTGCATACAAGAATCAAATCTTTGAAAGATATTAAGAATAAAGATTTAGTTGAGGAGGAAAAAAAAAGAAATAAAAATGACTTCTGGAACTATAATAAATTATTTATTATGACCAAAAGCTATGTAAAGTGATACAATTCAATTCAAGTAATTAATATCAAAGCATAAAAACAAGTATTGTTGTAAAAAAAAAAAATGTATTTATATTGTAAAATTTTATGTCATAAAATACAATATTATCATACAATTACATCTCATTGCCAGCAAAGACAAAGTATTGTTGTTGTATTGTACCACAGCTATTAGGTAAAGAAAGATAAAGAAAAATAACAACAACATTAATAATAATAAGAATAATGTGGAAGCCAAATGTAGATGTGTATAAACATAAGCCACAAATCAATTCCTTTTAACATCTTGTAGTAACAAGTTGGTGCAATAATCAATTAGAGACTAATTGAATCTTATCTATTTATTATAGTTAAATAATGTGTTTTTGTTAAATCTCTCAAAAGCATGATGTGTGTGATGAATATGATTTTGGATGATGTAAAAATTCAAGTGGTCAATCATGACTCATTATATCAAACCAACTAATCATATACTGTATTAAAAACAAATCTTACAATGTAAAAAGTTTCAAAACTACACAACTTTTCTTATTGATTTCCTTGAAGAAATCTATTATTCTATATATTGAAAACATGTCCAAAAAATGGGATATCACAATACACTCATAGAAATACTTGTATTCTAGAATGCTTTAGAGAATGTACATATGCCAGTCCAGATTTTGTGGTAGTAATGTAGTAGGAAAAATAGCCTATGATCAGGAGGACTTGTTTGAGTTACTTATGAACATAAAGAGGTGAAGAGTATCTGCAAAACTCTGAAGGATTCCATGTAGAGACAAGCCATACAGAACTTGAAAGAGGTTTAGAGCTTGATAGCCTATTTATCAGCCAAAACGGATCTGGAGCACAACAGTGAAGATGGCACAGAGCCCACCATAGCCACCGAACTCTCTCCAAAACCTCCTAAATCCTATAAACAATCACACCTAAACCCTGAACCCAACTATGAATATCGTCATCTCTGTGACCAAGAAACAGGTGCATGCACATCAATTGGTTGCATGCAAAAAAATCTGTCAGGGCGGAGTCGGATGTGCTGAAGATGCTTGCGGATCACAGACCGAATCCCAAATTTGGACATTCATATTTGCGCTGTGTCTTTGACAAATCAGCACAGGACGTCTTCAGTTCCAGAAGTGACTAGGCTATAGAACCTTCTTGAGAATCGAGAGGAACAGGCCTCAAGGGAGGAATTTTGCGACGAGGTTCCATCTTGCAATGGCGATGTTAACCAGGACCGCGCAGTTGTGCATTCTGGGTAGGCTTCTGGAGGGCTTCCAAGTGGCTTCTCGGGGTCCCTGTAGATCTGTTGCGTGCGGAAGAAGACCCTGTGCATAAGAGCTTCGCGTTTCATTGTGAGCTTGGAAGATCGGAGAGGTGTTTGTTGTGATTTGTGTGAAGATTATTACTTTTGTTGCATTGGGCAAGCTTTAGATTCGAAAACAAGGGCACCGGCCTTCTGATTTGCGCAGCACCTTTTCTGTCAAACTGAAAATTGCGTGGTGCGACTTCGTTATCACAAGTTCAATTTTTTTCTGGATTTAATGTGTGCGGGATACGGTTGATGCGTAGATTACTTGTGCTATGATTTTCCTTGTTTGTGCCGAATTTCGAGTGTGATTCCATTGGTTGCTGTTGTTTCCCTTTCACAAGTTGGAGATTTCATCAACATTGTTGTTTTTTGAACATTGGGGTTTTTAGAGCATGGCCTAAAATTCGGAAGTGAATCTACCACTATAGATAGGTGTGCTGGATCTTAACAATGGAAGGTGCAGTAAGGTTTGGGGTTTGATGTTGAATGATTTCTCATTATCTGTGATCACTTGACGATAGTGGCTAAGAGCTGCTATGTGATGATCCACTGTTACAAACTAGAATTCAGTTGCATTCAACTAGTTCAGTCTCTCCTCCCGTGGTCATGGAGGACCTATTGAAAAATAACTAGGTGTGAGATATCTTAGCTCTGCGACATCTCAAGTTGTTGGTATTGTGGTTACTCCAGGAAGACGGTGATCCGAATTTGATCGCATCAGTTGTGCGCTGCGGAGTAGGGGGTCAAGGAAAATGGCACAGAAGAGCCCCTATTTGAAGCAAAGAGATGGCAATGGGAGCGGCTTGAGAGTTGGATACACCGTGGATGACCAGGAGCACGATAAACAGCCACTAGACCCTGGCCTTCCTCTCTTACAGCATGCCGATCTGGAAGACAAAATTGTCCTCCTCCGTGTTGACCACAATGTCGTCAAAAAAGGTCAGATTTACCACCACACTACTCGAAAGCTATGTAGCTATTTAAATACATCCTGTAATCGCCTGAAAGAATCTCATTGTCTTAGGTTCGTAAATCCAAATCAAAAACCATGTCTCTATAAAAGGGTTCATTCTGGACTTAATAACTCCTTCAAAGCTTTTCTGGTTTCAATCTTTGCCTGTAGCAGCAAAAGCACTCAGGTAATCAAACATGAATGTCATTGAGCAATCGTACGCAAAATGTGAAGCGAGAACGCATTCATCACGAGTGTAGGATCTAGGAACTCGAAGGTAGGCATCGATCCTCTAGAATGTTGGGAGAGGTCAAAGGTATCGATCGACAAAGCCATGATGAACTAAGTAGGTTTTGAGACACAAAGATCAGCATGAAGTACTCTAGTCAAGCTCTCACTTCTGAAGTGAAATTATATCATTTTGGAGGAAGTGCAAAATCGAGCTCTCTATTTGAAAGATAAAAAAATCCAAGTCCAACAGATCAAAGGAAGCTGTAGCCAAACAATGAAGGGAAAGCTGAATATATTAGTTGATGAAAAGTTCCGTTTTCACAAGATTGTGATGTTGATTGTGCATGATGGGTGTGTCAGGAAAAATATTGGATCAGTATCGTATCGACGTGACATTGGCCACTATGTACAACATCATTGAACGCGGTGGCAGGTGGTCCTCTTGAACCGATTTCTTTACAAGGTTTTAGCATATTGAAGGCAATTTGGAGCATTGTGTTTTCGTTATCAATCACAAAAGGTTTAAAATGCTTCTGTATTTGAGACGAAAATTGATATGCAAGTACCTTTTTATCAATAAGAATGTCGTCTACTGGAGTCAGAGTTTTTAACCAGCTAGACATGCATTTCATTAACGAAAGTCGCTTCTTGACAGACTCATCATTATGACTCACGTTGGGCGTCCATACGACAAAAAAACAAAAACCCTGGTCGTCAAGCAAGATGATGCAGTGGATGCAGTGGTGGGATACTTGCAACGAAAGCTGCGCATCAAGTTTGCGGTACCTAAGTTCCATGTTTTTGAGAAAGAGGGGATTCACGACGTTGATACCTCTATCAACTGGTTAATTCAAGACTTGCGAGCTCGCAAAATTGGTGGCATCTACCTTCCAAATACTCGTTGGTTTGCAGTAAGTTCATCCTGATTCATCCGTTGAAGTGCAGCCACCACTTATTACAACGTCCTCCTACATTGTCAACTTTTGGAAGCTTGGGTTGAATTCTAGTTATGGGGATGTCTGGTATGAATTTTTTTCTAGAAATTTGAGTATGCTTTGGATAAGAGAGTCACTTAGGTATGTAATTTTTTTATGACACTGAATTGTTTGGACCTCCTAGTATCGTCATCATTGTGAAAATTTTAGATCATAAACCTACAACTTCACATGTTGTGTACAGGGAGAAGAAGATAAAGGTGAAAAAATGGAGCGCCTAGCAGTGCAGCTAGCTGCGTTAGCTGATGTATATGTAAACGATGCCTTCGGCTCATGGCAACCACACACCTCTACTTATCATGTTGCGAAATATCTGCCCTCCTTCGCTGGCCTTTGTATGCAGGTAATGTGGATGTAAGTTAACCGCTGGGGTGTATCATTAATTCTTCACGAGACATATTACCACGCTTCATGACTTGACACTTCTTTATATTCCTATCATTTAAATTGAATGTACCGTAGCTCCATATCATTAGTATCGACTTGCTCATGCTGTGGATGCTTTTCTCTCTCTGACATTTGCAACTCCTCTCATGCCAAATACTAAGCAGCACTGAGGTTTGACTTAAACAAATTCTTAATGAGAAAGTTGCGTTAAAGATCTGAAACTAGAGGCATTTGCTTACTGACGTCTTCATTTACTCTTATTTAGGACGAGCTGTCCAACGTAAGGGCGGTACTGGAACCAAAGAGACCGTTCCTTGCAATAGTTGCTGGTGCAAAGTATGATACCAAAATAGGTCCGCTGGCAGCGATTTACAAGAGAGTGGACCATCTCATACTCGGTGGGCTCATCTACAATACATTTTTGTGCGCCAAGTACGGTGTAAAGATCAAGGGTGTGGAGGTGCGTTATAAGATGTTCGCTCTAAGTGGTTGAAATCAATTCCCAAATAATGCCAGAATTATGGTTTTGAGAATTTATACTCAGCACTTAAACCACGCAAACCACCGACTTCTCGAGTACTTTTAATGTAAATTTACAGTTTGCATGATTCCTGCAGGACTCCGACATTGCATTAGCAAAAGATCTCGTGGAACAGGACAAAAATGAGAGAAAAATTCTGGAATTGCCTTACTTAGTGGAATCCGATACGTTGGAGGGCCGCATCGAAGGAAAGTTTCGAACAGTCCACACCAAGGTACTTTCCCTGCTATATTTGCTGTAAAGGTCGACTTCTAGTGCTTCATGTGGGACACTGGTTATTCGTTAGTTGCAGATTGGGAGGAGCGACTCGAGACAAGTGGTTTACCTTGGTTAATGTTCTTTGCTTGCGAAGTAAACTGGCTAGTTCCTGTGTTAAGGAATTTGTGTTGCCCTTGTATGTAGGACTTCAAGCCAGGACAGGAGTTCCAATTTATTTTGGATGTAGACCCTGCATCTTTCGAGGATCCGGAAGTTCTAGAGGGGCTCGCCTCTGCAAAAACAATATTTGTTAACGCCGTTATGGGCCTGATGCCAACGTTTTGGCACGGAACTAGCAAAATGGATGAAACTATTGACAACAATCGCACTGCTCAAAAATTCTTTGGTGGAGGTGACACTCTCCAGGAATTTAAAAGGTCAGTTTTTCAATACCAAAAAATTTATCGCTCTTTTCCTTTGCTTCAAATTAGTTGTTGAGTCCTAAATTATCAACGCGTGCATATGGTGCGCAGTAAATAAATTTTATTGGCAGCATATGTGATTTTTTTATTGATTGGTTCAGATGTTGCTTCCAGCTGATGTCGTCAAATAGTATGGATAATGTTCTTCTCTATGGTGTTTTTGTTCCAGTTGTGTAACGATTCGTTTGCATTTGTATTGATGCTACTAATTTTGCTCTCTTCCTGAAGTAGAATCATTCACAGAGGTAGTCCTTGTCCAGTCAACTATCCTGCATCATTTGCGTCTGGAGCTCATACTTGCTTACGATATTTCTGGCATTGATGTCAATCGTTCAAAACACATTGTTTTATTGCAGAAATGACTGTTGCCGAGCAGGCCAGAAATGTTACGGTTTGCTAAGTAGTTGACTTTTCATTTTTTGCAACAGTTTGCACCCAGGTTTGTACCATGCTGCGCTGGACAGTCCCAAGTACTACATGTTCACTGGAGGAGGTACCGTTCTTAAGGTGTTGGAGGAAGCCGATCCCTTCGGCCTGCCCACTGTAAAAGCACTTTTAGCAAATGGAGAGGCGTTTGGGTATCAAAATTGGCGTAACGCCTCTGCAATGTAGCACTGGCTGCAAACTGGTTCAAGTTGATGGGGTCAAATTTTACTTTGAAGTGAAAGTACTTACATTCTTGAGAGCAGCATGACCTACAAGTAACCAAGAGAACTTAAGTGTAAGCGAGGCAAATAGTTAATGAATTTTGTTGACCAGTAGCTACGAGTTCATGTGATCAGCAGAAGGGGGCGCTTTGGATTTTACAGTCTGAGAAAATACACGCACATACGCAATCACTTTGTTCATCTGTTTTGTAAAGTTGCACTCTTCGTCCAAGTGCTCAGACCATGAAAAGTCTAGCATAACAGGAAAGTGGATTGGTATAACAGGAGCATAGAGAGTACTGTATTTTCTACCTTTCTACTTACTTAGTAAGAAGCCTTAACCATTGTAAGCATATTTAGCATCACTGCCAGAATTTAGAGATGCCGATGAATAGAGTTCAGCATGCAGTCCGACCCACTGTTTTTGGACCCTTGGAATAAACTCTTCATAATCTAAAATAAAAACCTGCAAATAAGCACTAAATACACAACTTCCCTGTTTCACATCCATGTACTGGAACCAGATCCTTCCAAGTTCGATCACCAGAATCCAAAGATTCCAAACTCGCTGTTCAGTAGCATCCATTCATGCAATCGGTTTCAGTTACTCTATCAAAATTCCTGGAACCAGCTGACTCTCGTTTGATAGAACCCTCGAACCAACTCGTCCTGTGAAAGAATCCAACTCCCATCAACAAGTTAACGACAACTGACACTGACAACACTCAACAACGACATCGCTCAACCACTGTGGGTGTGAGCTCCATGGACACAGGTCTACTGTGCAGAGGCTCTAATTTTCTGGACTCTGTTCTGCGGCTACAGGTGGCCAGCTCGCAAAGCAAGAGCTGCTGAGCCCACGATGAGGATGCAGGTCAAAGAGATAGCATTTCAGAAGTGGTTTCAAAAGGGGCTTCCCAGGCCAACCCAGCTTGAGAATCTCCACCACATCCTTCAATTCGACAAGAGGGGATGGTGAGTGTACCGAGGGCCCTTTGCTGGCATTCTCTGCTAATGGGTTGCTTTCCTGCGATGCTCTCCACCACAAGCACACAAAGCGCCATGGATTCCACAAAACAGCGAAGTACAAAAGGGGCAAAAAGAGGACAAGCACAGCAGAGGACCATGTTGCATTCCCAGCGTTGAACGATGCGAGAGGTCTCCGAACACAGATCTGTTGCCGTGTATGTGGAGCCTCATCGACATGGGAAAATTATTGCTAAATTCTCGTTAATTTTCCTCACTTTCCAACACATTCTTTGTGTGGGTTTTGGGATTTGTACCCTTCCTCCTAACCCTCCCTGGTCTGGCACCCAAACGATAAAGAACCAATGGTGCCTTGACTATGAATCCTTCACAACCCATTCTCTCTCTCTCTCTCTCTCTCTCTCTCTGTGTATATGTGTAAGACAATAATTAAGTCTCTAAAAATATATATATATATATATATATATATATGTCCTTGTAATATTGATAATTGAACACTCTTCTTTTTTGAATTGGATTGTTAAGTCAAAATATGTGTTTTTTATTTTTTATTTTTTATTTTATTTTGTCTTGAACTTAACCCCCACTAATCAATGCATCGGGTATATATATATATATATATATATAAGTATATTCACAGTATTAGCAAACATGACTATGGAGGCTTGATGTTTTTTTTATCACTGAATGTGGATGTTCTTGTGAAGCCATGGCACTAACACCACACATTGTTGTGCAGAAATATTATGATTTCTTGAGAAGGGATATTGTGAATTAACTCCAAAGATGAAATTTAGGTTCAAAGTAATGAAATAGGCCTCTTTTGTTGAGATTCCTCACAATTATAAGTGTGTAGAGTAACCTTTAGCATCTAACAAGATCATAATAAATATTTTTACAAAACATGTTTTTAATATTCTATTGGAAAGGTGGTAAAAGTAGACATTTGAAGGTGGAATAAATAGTGTTTCCACAACTTAAGCAACAAAGTACAATGGCAAGACCAACAGGTCTAAAGTATACTACTAAACCTTTTGTAGATTATGAAGATGATGGTCAATGTCAATATGTTCTTGCAACCTTCCAAAGAACATTTACAACACCTTGGATTGTTTCTGTTCATTAATTTGCAGAGTTTTGAAAACTCATTATCCTAAATAATTATTCTTTCAATGTGTTCTCCAATATGCAAGTAATATACATGTATCACTAAGCATATGAGAACTAAAATTTTAGAATCTACATAAATAAAATGTGTTTGTTAAAATGTCACTAATTACAACTTTTATTGCACATGATTTATGTTAACAAATATGAATTTCTGAAACTTTTGATTGTAGAAAAATTAAAATCAATTTTAGTGAAATCTCGTATATTTCCTTTTTCAGAAAAAGAGTAATTTATTTAAATAGCTAACACCAATCAAAAGGCATAAATATTTAATGTAAGTTAAAAAATACTTAAACAATTTCATAATATCAATAGTTTTGATTATCTAAAGAACTATAATAAAGAAACAAAATAATCGGCACATAATCTCATGAAAAAGCTGAAAAATGTTATTTTACAGTACATAAATTTTAAATCAGGATTCACAACATGGATTTTTAAAATAATTAAAAATGATTATATAATAATACCAAATCTTAGCTTGATATATTAAATTTATATACTAAATATTAAAATACATAAATCAATGTGATAATTTTTGAGATGTCTCTTAAAGAATTGAAGATGCTCCAAATTTGTGAGTGATTTATTTACATAAAACTATGCAAATTGAATATTTAAGATATCCTATCACTTTGCATTGCTTTCAATGGCACTTCTAAGCATAAGCAATCAAAGATTTAAAAGTAAAATAAAGTAATATAGTCTTTGGAGAACAATAAATTAACCTGTCTAAATCTTAAATCAGCCCACCTTACTTCCATGATTCAATTTTTGTGATTACTTTTCTAATATGGGAACAAAATAATCTATGAAATCAATGGATAATGACAAAAATTAATCCAATATTCTCCTTGGAGGAGAAGGGATTTGGAGTCTCTCTTGCATTGTCTTGTGTTGCCTTTGATTTTGAAGTATACACACTTTGGCAGCATATACTCCTCCCTCCTCCTACTCATCCCTCTCTTGTGCCATAAAACATGGTTATTACACCTTCATATTTGCAAAGGGTATATTTTGAAAAATTATTCATTTAATTAAATAGATAAATTTTGAAAAAGAATGTAGACAGATTTAATGACTTCTTTAATATAGTATATAGGTTTTAAATCACAAGTATGGCATTTAAAATTATATGAAATATTTATTTGAAAATTATGGATTTTAAGATGTAAATAAAATTATGCATTTTATAACCTAATTAGTTTTAAAAATATATTATTTTTAATTATAATTCTTTGTAATATTTATATGTATATATATATATATATATATAAAAATTTTATTCTATTTTGTTATAGTCCTAGTACATATTTTTTACATTGTTTAGTTTTTTATTTATAATTATTTTTTGTTTGTGGAAACTTGACATGAAATTTTAACTTTTTAGCAATTAATACGAGATTTTTTATTTTTGAAATTTAAATTTAAAATTTTATTTATTTTAAAAAATATAATATTATTAATTTTTAATTACTCAAATTTTAAATTCTATTATGTAAGTTATATAAGTTACGTAAGTCACAAGCCTAATACCTTTGAAATATATATTTCAATTGTTAGTGGACTACAAAAATCTTGCTTATTGTCATATTTACATATGTCTATTTAAAGATTTTTATTTAAACTTATACATCTTCTAATTAATATAAATACATCCTTGATACAAATTTAGTTGCATACACATTATAATTATTTTTTAAAATATATGTATTATTCACTCTACTTTACAATACGATTGCCAGTTCTCTTGACACAAATTTCCCACATTTTACAATCAAGCACCTCAATCAATCACCTCCATTGCATTCAACACCTCATTTAAGCGCATACCTCAATTCCAGACACCTGGAGTGGATCGGTACCTCGATCGGTACCTGGGCCATGGGGTTCAATCTCGAGCTCCATCGTCGACGCTCGGCAACAGATGCCGGAGAATCGCTCCTTTAGATTTTTGTTCAAGACTGAAACCCATCGACTACTCAGATTGATTGTTCAACAGAAATCCGTGCATTGTGTCTCTACGCCTTCGATCCGTTTGAAGCTCACAATCCCACAACTTTTTTTACTTTTATTTTTCTTGACTTCGTTAAAGTGATCGAGCATTGAGTGAACGACAAAGTGGTCCAGATCGACGAGTCCGCTGCCTTCAAGAGGATTAGTTGCCTTTAGCAGGAGTCGAGGCATCGGAGACGACTTATGGAAATGAACGGTGCAGAGATTGAGAAGAACGCTTCGCGTGGGGGTTGTGACAGGACACCATCGTCCAATTCGACGACACCCACATGGTGCTGCTCGAACTTCGACGACCGCGGAGCAGGTCAAGATCGCGACCAGGAGCTTGGTGATCCGATCGGAGGTGGTTGAGCGCGTTCTGTGAGGTTAAGCGCTACGGAGTTAGAATCGGTCCTTTCCTTCCAGGACTTCAGCTCCCCACCCCCACAGATCCCCATCCCACGCCCTGCGGCGGCCTGCACCGCCGGCGCGACGACGCTGGCGGTGTGGCGGTCATAGATTTCTGTGGGTTGCTGATGACGGCAGTTTGAAGACAAGGGAGACAAACAAAATCAAAACAAACAAAAAAAAAAAAAGTATTGGAAGGGTATCTTATCTTCATGAACTTTCACTAGAATTGATATCAGTTCTAGATAAATCTGCAGATTGAACCGACGCAATCGTTGGTCACAACCCGAATCCAGTCAGGTAGAATCATCGATTACCGGAGCCTTCGAGCTTGACTGAATTGCTGGCATTACAAATCCTCACAGGAGCAGGCAGGTCGAAGATTCACGACGTGTGCTTCTGGATTCATCGGGGTGAACGACCACGGCCGTCAACGACGCTGGAACCAGCACAGTCTTGCTGTTGCTTCTCATGCAAAATTTTATGTGGGTTCCTGCATCACACATAAAATAGGGTTATGTAAAATAGATACTTTCCTGTGAGAGTTAGTTAGTTTGTTTGTTTTCTTTTTTCCTTCAGCTCTGAATAGAAACGAACGAACTCTCTCTTTGGTTCAAAACTGATGGTACATGTGTGTTTATATATCTATATAATAAGATCACTTAAGGAGACAAGTGGTGGCTCTCATTCACTGCATGCACGCCTCTTGGTTTTCATCAAAAAATTTAACATTGTTTAGAGTTTGAAAGGAAGCAAAAGCTTGACCAAAACCCAAGAAAAGTTCACAAGGAGTTCACAGTGTTCATTTTTTTTTGCGATTTTGTAATTGAATGCACTCAAGTGGAATTCACAAGGAGTTTATAGGGCTCATTTTTTTTTTTTTTTTTTTTTTTTTCTGTGATTCT